AATTTACTTTTTTGTCAGTGTGTAACACCTTTTGACTAAATTACAGCTAGAATACTAGATGATCTACCTCCTGAAGATATCTGTGAAGAGCAGAGATTCAAGACCCAAAACAAGACACGTAATCATTCTCAGGCCAATAGCAAACTTTATGGCAGCCTGAGGTGGTTCACAGAAGTCATACTTTTGTATGGGTTTTATGCCTCCCAACTCTGAATTTGGCAGCTGCTGCAAAACCCGACATTGAAAAGAAGTCTCGAGATGCCACAATCTCAGTAGCAGCTCTCAAGGGACTTTGCTCAACAAGCTGTGACAGCTAGAGGTGCAGAGAATGTTGCAGTCTGAAAGGAAGGCTGATTTCAGTGAAGAGGCTACCGAGACGGGCAAATAAACAGTTATGCAGGCTGAGTGTGAGGCAAGAAGAGAATAATGTCTGGTGAAGGATACTGTCGGCCCGCATCACTCATGCCGGAAGATAAGGTTCAAAGCCCTGCTATCAGAATGCTGAGAGTAAAAACAGCCCGTAACCTCTCCACACGCTCTCCAGAGGAGACTCCATCAGACACACTGCTTTTGTAGAGAGAGCAGACATTTGAATTGCAATTCAAATGTGAATGTTGGGGAGTACAGTTAGAATTAAAAACAAGAAATTCACATGACAATAGAAAAGCTTTTAACTAGCTCAATTTGTCAAGACTGAATGTTGGTATCACAAAAGTTGTTTAATAGTTTTGAAAAAAAGATAAAAAATTAAAAGCCTTGAAGTTTGAAGATTTATAGGCCAGATGTTTAAAATAAAAATATAACACTTTATTTCATCATATTTCATTACCTTTTGTGTACCAGAGTGAAAGAACATATAAATTCCCACACATGCATTACATGTGTCACGAATCCTGTCCATGAACTTCCGTCTGCTTGCCACCAGAGGTCGCCCTCCCATTATAGTGACGTTCATACCACACAGACTGTTACATATCACCCTGGACTACATTTCCCATGCTCCATTGCACTAATCACAAGCTCACCTGAAACCAGTCACACACAGCTGCTACCAATAACACACACTATATAAATCAGTCTCACACCACCATTCAACGCCGAGTATTGTTTAGCGCATATCTCTCTCATAGCGATAGCTACTTTACGGAGCCATTCCAAGTTTCTTAATCTAGTATAGCCCGTGTCTTTATCCTTGCCTGTTATCTCGTTTTGTCTGATCTCTGCCTCCCCTGAAG